CACGAGCCTACAAAAGGATCAATCAACAAACAGAGCAAATGAGTCTGAAGAAAACCTAAGAATTTGGGGGAGATCCTATCAAGAGAAACAACTTACATTTCATTGGAATTCCAGAACAGGAATTAACAAGCAAACAAAGAAATAAACAAGCAAACAAAAATCCAGAGAAAATGGTACAAGAAATCCTGGAAGAAAACTTCCCAAACAGCATAAAAGAGGAAAAACAGAACTACCCAGAAAGCTGCGAGAACGCCAAATACAATAGACCTCAAAAGAAAAACAACAGGAAAAAAGCTGATTCTTTGAAAGAATTAACAAAATTGAAAAGTCACTAGTAAACTTAACAAAGGAAAAGAAAGAAGCACGTATTGAGAATTAGAGATGAAAGGGATGGCATCACAACAGATCCACAACACATTGATACAAAAGATAAAATTTGAAAACCTAGATAAAATGGAAACTTCTCTAGAATCATACTATGTACCCAAATTAATATGGTGATATAGAAAACCTCAACAAACCCATAAAAAAATAAAGAAAAATATCAGACCATTAAAAATGTTCCAACAACAACAAAAACAACTCATGGAGAGGTGGTTTCCCTTGAGAATTGTACTAAACATTCAGAGAAAAACTGTACACAATTTGCACAAATTGTACACAGTTCTACACAAATTATTTCAGAATACAGAAAAGGACAGCAAATTCCCTTGTTTCATGAAGCAAGCATAACCGTAAACCCCAAGCCAGGCAAAGACACTATCTAGACAGAAAACCACAAACCAATATCCCTCAGGAATGCAGATGCAAAAATTCTCAACAAAGTTCTGGCCAACAATATATCAAAAGAACAATGCACCGTGATCAAGTGGGGTTCATACCACACACTCAGTCAAATTATAATAATAATTTCAGCATTACAAAAACAACCAAAGCAACCCACTAAATAAACAAAAGATAAGAACTATCTGACCATATCAAGCAAAACAGAAAAGGCATTTGACAATATCCAATATCCATTCTGGTAAAAGTGCCCAACAATATAGGAACAGAAGGGAAATTTCCCAAGACGACAATGGCCATGTTCATGAAACCTATGGCTAAGGTCTTGCTCAGTGGGAAAAGACTGAAAGCATTCCACTTGTGAACAGGAACCAGACAAGATGCCCAGTGTCACCACTCATACTCAACATTGTGCTCAAAGTCCTTGCCAGAGCAACTAGACAACAAGAAATCAAAGGAATACAAATTGGTAAAAAGAAGTCAAACTTTCACTGTTTCTAAGCGATATGATTTGATATGTAGAAAATCCCAACAGCTAGACCACAAAAATTGTTGTAAACAATCCAGTTTCAACAGTGTAGTAGAATACAAGATTAACATACAGAAATCCATTGATTCCTGTATACTAATGAGAGAACTCTGAAAAACAAACCACGAAAACAGTAACCACACAGAAAATGAAACACTTAGGAATAAACCTAAGCAGAGAAACAAAAGCCTTGAACAAAGAAAACTACAGAACACTACTATAAGAAACCCAAGGAGACCTATATAAATGGAAGATATTCCATGCTCATGGATAGGTTTAATATTGTGAAAATGCCAATACTACCAAAAGCAATCTATAAATACAACATAATTTCAATCCAGATCCCAACCTCACTCTTTAAAGAAGTGGGGGGAAAAACCAAAACAAAGGCTTCTCAATTACTGACTTCAAAACTTATTACACAGCCACAGTAGTTAAAACTCCCTGGTACTGGTACAGTGATAAATACATAGACCAATGCAACAGAATATGAAACTCAGAAATAGATCCATCCACCTACAGAACTGATTTTTGACAAAGGGCCCCAAAACATTAAAAGTGATAGACATAGTCGCTTCAACAATGGTGGTGGCAAAATTGGATTTCCATCTGAAGAAGAAAGAGAAAGGAATTACACCTAATCCATTTACAAAAACAAACTCAAGATGAGTCAGAGAAACTCAATATAAATCTCAGAGCTCTAAAAATAATCAGTGAGAAAATGGAGACTAATTTACATGCCCTATTCGAGGGCATACACACACTATCAAATATAACATAGCAAACCCACAAAGTAGATAATAAAATAGATGACTGGGACATACTAAAAGTAAGATACTTATGTGCATTAAAAGACTTCATCAAAAAGGTAAAAAAAAATCCACAGAGTTGGGGGTGGAGGGGATCTTTGACAATGACACAAGAGCAAAGGACTAATCTCTAAAATCTATAGAAAAGAGCAATACCTCAATAAGAAAAAGATGAATAACCCAACTAAGAAGTGGACAAAGGATATGAACAGACAGTTCACCAAAGAAGACATCCAAATGGGTAACAAACATGAAGAAATGCTCATGATCAGTAGCCATCAGAATATGCAAATCAAAGTAATGATGAGATACCATCTTACACCAACATTTAGAGCCAAGTTTTTTGTTCGTTTGTTTTTTAAGCAAAAATAGAAAATAAAAAATTATCATACACTACTGTACTATAAACATGTACAACTGTGGAAAGCAATATGGCGCTAACTCAACCAACTGGGAATGGTAATTTCATATGATCCTGCAATCCCTCTGCTGGGTATATATATCCTCAAGAAGTAAGAGGTTATAACATGAATAGGCATATGCACACCTATGTTCATGACAGCACTGTTCACAATAGCAAGAAGATGGAAACACCTACGTGCCCATCAGTAGAAGAATGGATAAAGAAACTGGTTCCTACACATCCTAGAATACTATGCATCACTGAAAAACTATGGCGATACCACAAAGCCCCTCATGGTGTGGATGACCTGAAGAGCATTATGCTGAGTGAAACTGGACAATCATAAAGGACAATACTGTATGAAATCACTGTCATAAGGGGGGGGGGGGGGTTTCTTCCAAGATAAAGCCCTCATGCCAAAGTTTGCCAAAGTGAGGAGGGAGGATAAAGCAATAGACCACACAGGTGACTGGTGGTAACTTGGGTGATGTGGAAGATGGTGGTCTACATGAGGGAGACCTCAAACAGTGGGGTAAAGATAAACTATTGGGGGAAGGTGCTGATCAGTGATTTAAACTGTTGAACACAAAGTCGATGATCTGAAATGTAAATCCCCAACTAATTTACAGTAAAATAAATGTGTTAAGTAATAATAAAGCTCATGTGCGGCCATCTAAGATGCCCTTAGTGGTTTCTCCCTGTCCTAAAGAAGCGCGATGAAATTCGAAAGACCTGTGAAACAATTAGTCAAGCATTAGTTTGCCTGAGATCTGAAGAACTAGATGGTACCTGGCTCCCATTACTAACCTCTCTGAAAGGGATAATGTGAGAAGGTACTGGATAGAGTGGGAGACAAAATGTGGAGCAAAATTCAAAATCATACAATAACAACCAAAAAGAGGAACAGGCTTGCTTGTTGTATAGGGAGTGGAGGGACCCCTGATAAACTATTGCTCTTCGTCACCCTTCAGGTCTGGGAATGAACCCTTTGCCTAGATTCTCACCAAACAATAGAAACAATATAAAGGGGACAGTCACACTAGGGAGGTAGGCACATCTTAGAATGATCGACCTTAGGAGTGCAAAGAAGCAACATTTACCCAAAAGCCAAGTTCGGGAGGGTTGGGAAAGGAGGAGGAATGGGAACAGAAACACGGGGCGAGCGGGGTACGTGGTGTTACATGATGGCAGCTGCAGTCAATGAAAGGAAACACAATGTGTATGGATCGGTGGATGACACATCAATCTTCACACAATTCACAACACACACACACACACACACACACACACACACACACGGCTTCTTAACATTTTGATGATGATCATTCTTTCCAGAGAACAATTTTCTTGTGCTGATTTCTTATTCCTTAAAAAAAATCCTTTTACTTCAAAATGGAGAAAACTTGAATATGCAGTAAATTTGAAAACACAATATTGAGGCTATCGCTATTTCAATAGATGGACAATCAGTCTTTATGTTGCTTGTTTCGTATTACATGGTTTCCACCGTGAGTTATTCAACCAATGGGGAAGGAACACTTTCCATATTAGTGTCTTTCACTTTGCTCTCCTTTCATTAATCAAAGATGATGACAAGTTTTGAGAGAAGTTAGGGATGAGTATCCCAGGCAGGGTGACATTTATTTTCCTCTGTCTACAATTGAGCTGCTAAAAAGGAGCACCTAACCCCATGTGACCAGCCAAACCACCCAACTCATTGCCACTGAGTTAATTCTGACTTAAAGTGACCCTCTGTCGAGTTTTAGAGGCTTTGAAAGTCTTAACCAGTGCAGAAAGCCTCATCTTTTTCCTTTAGAGCTGCTTGGAGGTTTGAACCACTAACCACATGGTTAGCAGCCCAACACTTAGCCTCCAGCATCACAGAGCTCCCTCTGTGATCAACAGGGAAAAGGAAAGGGAAGAGTAAGAGCAGAATCATCGGGTGGAGTTAACCTATTTTTATGTGCCGAAATTCTTGCACATGCCTTAACGGCGTCTTCTTTATTTTCTTAATCCTGCCCTCGCAAATTACTCCGCAACAGCTCTCTGATGCGGCTGCATATATTCGTGATTCCCCAACTAATTGAAGAAGTCACAAAATGTCAGCCCCCTTCCCTGCACGTGTGGATTTCTGTTAAATCATTGGTTTAATACATTTCCTTAAATCTCTTGGTTTGTTGTTCTTCTCTTAAACAGTGTAATTGTTATTGTGAGTCTGATCCATAGACATTTTTTATTTAATTGACTGCTCTTAAAGTAGTCTGTTATTATCTTGCAATAAAAATATTTTTATTTGTATGGGGGAAGTAAGTATTATTACTTACCCCTTTTAATTATTTTGGTAATCTCTGCTCTCATGGATATGAATATGAATAATTTTACCTGAATTTGTCCTGAGATGTAGGCTTGGAAACTGATAATTTTAATAAAGTACATTTTACCTCATCTGCATATTTCTCATTAATTTATCTCCTAGACACTTCTTCAGAATAAAGAAGTCAAACTTAGAAAAGAAAATGGCAAAAGAAGAAAAACTTTTTAGAGAAAGATTTGAGGTATGTCCATATCTGACAGTTTAAAATAAAGCCATATTAACAACTATTCTTCAAGATTCTGTAAATTGCCGTGACTCTACTGCTGTAAGCTAAAGACATGATCTTTGAATATAGAATTGATTTTTTTATTTTTCCCCCACATAGATTTGTGTTACCATGATTTTGTATATGCTATTCCTCCTGCCCAGAAAAATTCCTATCTTGTTTTTTAAGACTATTCAAACAGAGACCTAGTTCCCCCAGGAAAAGTTATTCTCTTAGCACATTTGTATGTTCATCATGCATATACCTTGTAGAGCATGAATCGTTTGCAGTATCAGTGTATGTGGACCCTCCAAGCTCTTGGATCCCTTTTGAAGTGGAGATCCTATGCCATTTTAGTCTTCCACCTCCCCCACCCCCAAGACAAACTGGACATGCAGTAGACCTTGGTGAATTAACGAAGGGCAAAATAAAGAAAAGAAGAATCAGAGAAAGTAGCATGCTCCGAAGGTCCTTGAGTTTTCACTCTGTCACTTAAAGTCCACTTCTCCCTTATGGCTGATCTCAAATGACCCTCCCTTTGGAGATGCTGGGCCCGAATCTCCATAACCGAAGAGGAGCTTTGCAGATGGAGAAAAGTTAGCAAGGACACACCAGACATGGAAACAACCCATGTAGACACTAAAAATACGAACAGCTCGACAGAGATGGAGGTGGAGATCCATTCAAGAGACAGAATATGAGCAATTTGTTGACAAAGCATAAAGTTCAAGGTAAAGGATCCCACCCCAAACCCACTGTCATTGAGTCAATTCCAATTCATAGGAACCCTATAGGACAGGGCCAAATGGTTTCTTCTGAAACTGCAAATCCTTATGTGAACAGGCCACCTCACCTTTCTCTTGTGGAGCAGCTGATGGGTTTGAACCATTGACCTTGCAGTTTTACTCACTACATTCCAAACCCAAGCCAAACTGACTGCCATTGAGTCCATGCTGGCTCATAGCGGCGACCCTATCTATAGGATGGAGTGGAACTGCTCCTGGGAGTTCCCAAGACTGTAACTCTTTACAGGGGTAGAAAGCCTCCTCTTTCGCCTGAGAAGCAGCTGGTGGTTTAGAGCCATTGACCTGTGGTTAGTAACTCACTGGGTAACCACTATGCTACCAGGGCCTCATGAGCATTGAGTATTTTTGAAATATGGTGAAAATTACCAACATGGGGCACAGAAACACAAAGCGAGCATATGCTGTTGGGAAAGCACGTGTCAATACTCTTGCTTAATGCCGGGTTGCCACAAACCTTCACCTTGTAAAACACACAAGATCTGCAAAGCACAAAAAGGGAAGCAACATAAAATGAGGTATTTCTGGTTGAGCATTGGGTCGCTAACCTAAAAGTCAGCAGTTTGAACCCACCAGCCACTCCTTGAGAGAGAGATGAGGCTTTCTACCCCCATAAGGCATTGCAGTCTCAGAAACCCACAGCTACCCGAGTGAGAAGTCACTCGACGGCAGTGAGTTGGCTGGTTTTGTTTTGCACTCTTATCAAAGAGTCAGGACATAAAATGAGCTCCTGCAAACCACGCTTTTTTTCTTATAGCTGAAAAAGTATAATATAGCAATTACTGCTTGAAAAGACTCCTACAGACATCTGATGGTTCTCTCCCTACTGTTTTTATAACAAATTCCATTCCCCATAATGTATGATTCCACTTGTCCATATTTTTTGTGGTGGGATTCTTTATGCTACTTTAAAAAATAATGCCATTTTGGTACTTTTTATTTAGCTCCAATAACAAAAGCAATCTTAGGTACCGCCTTAGTACCAGGCATTGAGGATTCAGAATAAATGGCTGACTTTCCATTTATGCTGCTTCCATGAGCATTGATTGTGGATCTGATTGTGGATCCAAGCAAGACGAAATCTTTGACAACTTCAGACTTTTCTCTGTTTATCATGATGTGACCTATTGGCCCAGTTGTGAGGATTTTGGTCTTCTTCACATTGAGTTGTCATCCACACTGAAGACTGCAATCCTTGATCCTCATCAGCAAGGGCTTCAAGTCCTCTCACCTCCAGTAAGTAAGGTTGTATCATCTGCATATCAAATGCTGTTAATAAGCCTCCCTCCAATCCTGAGCCACGTTCTTCTTCATAGAATCCAGCTTCTCTGGTGATTTGATCAGCATACAGATTGAACAAGTCTGGTGAGAGGATACAACCCTGGCACATACACAAGCCTACCAGAGAGGCAGGGCACAATGGCAGTGTCATCTGGGTATGGTGTGCATGAGAGAGTAGGAAGGCACTATACAGGCACAAGAGGTGTTGTTTCTCCTTGTCAGTTTGGTGGTAACTTGACTGTTGTAACGGTTAGTATAATAGCCCTGTCTTCCACCAAGATGCATTGCACTACATTACATAATGGGTGTGAAAATATTTTTTTTCCAGTTTTTGTTGTTTTATTCTTTCTTGCAGTCAACAATTTTTTTAATCATTTTATTAGGGACTCATACAACTCTTATCACAATCCATACCCACATCAATTGTGTAAAGCGCATTTGTACATTCATTGCCCTCATTCTCAAAACATTCCCTCTCCACTTAAACCCCTGGCATTAGGTCCTCATTTCCCCCCTCCCTCCCCACTCCCTCCTCCCTCATGAGCCCTTGATAGTTTATAAATTGTTATTTTGTCATATCTTGCCCTGTCCGACATCTCCCTTCACCCACTTGTGAAAATATTTTTAAAGGATAATCATACCAATGAATAATCTTGCATGATAGTCATACCATGTAAGCTGGTGGCATTGTACTATTATGCAATTAACTTCCTTTCCTTTCACCACACACCTTGCTATTGTTTCCTATTCCTGTAGACCAGCAGTTCTCAACCTGTGGATCATGACCCCTTTGGGGGTCGAACGAGCCTTTCACAGGAGTCACCTAAGACCATTGGAAAACACGTATATCTGATGGTCTTAGGAACCCCGACACTGCGCCTCTATCTGTCTCCAGGTGGATCCACCCACATGCAGATACGCCCACACACGAATACCCGGTGTGAAAACTGTTACCCATGCTACACCATGCTTCAAGACAGAAGTTCATGTATTTGTCATTAGAAATAAATATTTCACAATATATAATTACATGTTGTTTCATGATTACTCACTGTGATTTAATTATGTCCAATTTGTAACAATGACAATGCATCCTGCATATCAGATATTTACATTATAATTGATAACAGCGAAATTACAGTTATGAAGTAGCAATGAAAATAATTTTATGGTTGGGGTCACCACATGAGGAACTGCATTAAAGGGTTCACGGCATTAGGAAGGTTGAGAACCACTGCTGTAGATGCTATTTAATCAATCCATATTTTGAGTTTATTTTTGAAGTTATTTTATTATGTCCTCCACTCATGTTGTCATAATGGAGAATAATAGACCATGCAAGCGTGGCCTGATGAGTCATTTCTCATTTCAGTATGACAAAGAGATCAGTGTCATCAATACAGCAGTGGCATGTTCTCATAATTCAAGAAAGGGCACCTTTGATTTGCCAATAACCCCTGGAGAAAAACTGGATGTCATTGATCTAACTGAACAGAATCTAGTGATATGTCGCAACGCTGAAGGCAAATGTAAGTTTATTGTCCTATCTCCTGTAACATATTAATCACTGCTAAGAAAAAGAAAAGAAAGAATTCTCTCTGTAGCTTTCAGATTAGTAATAGTAACTTTTGTTTCCACAGATGGATATGTGCTCATTGAACATCTAGATTTCAAGTAAGTGGTTTGAACTCGGACTTCAAATCATGGGCGCTCCAGATTTGATATGTAGTTGCATCCGTCTCAGGGGAGGACTGGTGAATGTATTGAAACACAGGGAGAGTTGGGAACATTCATCTACAGGGAATGAATCCTGGTGGTGCAGCTGTTGAGCAATTCCCACGAATGGAGGGTTCTGCTGTTCGAGTCCATCCAGAGGCTGGGAGGAAAAGATGCAGCACTCAGCTCCCAGAATGATTTGTTGTTGTTGTTGTTGTTGGCTGCGCTGGGGTTGGGTATGACTCATGCAGGAGACAGGACCTCTGTGGGAGAAGATCCCATGGAGTCTCTGCATGGTTGGAAGTGCAGCATGGTGGTCAGCAGCCCAGCATTTCACCATTGCAGCCCCGGGGTTCCTTAGAAAGCCCTGTGGGCAATTCTACTCTGCCACTTAGGGTCACTGTGAGGCCCAGTCAACTCCAGGGCGCCTCACAATAACGATCTGGAAAACTTGAGGGGGGTTTCCTATGTCTCCTGAGTGTGTCAGCTGACTTTTCTAGAGCATATTTATAAACATTTTGAACACGCACCAAAAATGTTAAATTGGCTGAGAAATTCTCTAGGACCTCCTATGTGATTCCATTCACTTGTTCCAAAATGCACATGTATGTGTCTTTGTTCTCAGGCATCAAGGTTGGTCACCTTAGCAAGAGCGACAGCAACTGGTATGGGCTGCCCCCTGTGAGACCTCGTTCTGAGACCTCGTTCCTGCCTCAGTTTACAAGCCAAATGAGACGGTGGAACCTGTGGAAGTGCACTTGGGATTAAGACGAGACCAAGGAAAACAAAGCCTTTCTGTTTAGATGTTGGTTTTACTCCTAAAAGGGCTATCTTTCATTGTCTGTTTCCGTGTCTAGTTCACCGTCCAGGAGAATGAGAAGCAATGTGTGTGATCATTTGAGCACCTGCTTAATGAGCCGTAGCCAGAGTTAGAAACAGGGCCGTATGGCTTCTAGGCAGTTGTACAGATGGTTAGTGGGTTTCTAATATTAGTATACTATTGTTTGGATTTTTCTCTAGAAATGTGCATGTAAATTGTGTAATTTAACTCTGTATCATAAAAAAATAAGCGGTATAATCACAGACTCCTAAATATGCAAATTTAAGGTATAATCTTAAAATACTATGGCTCAGTCTTTTAAAGTATAATGAATATCTGCTTTATCACAAATATATAATAGGGGGAAATACTGCTCAACTTTGCCTTCTTTGGCAATAGTTTGCTGAAAGTAATCTATTCCTACGTCTATCCAGTATCATTTTAACAAGGACCTGACTATAATAAATATGCTAAGTAGCCTATATGCTATGTCACTTTCAAACCTCCTGTTGCTCAAAAGCAGGAAAATGGTCCTTATTTTCCTATACATAAACACCTAAATATTCAAATCGAATTTGTGCATATTTTGACTTATATGGAAGGTTAAAAAAAAACCTAAGCTATAAATAACATTCAATTGAATTTTATTCAATTGATTCCATTTTTCAAAACTACACAATGCATGACATACATATTCAATTGTTGTTTAAAACTTCCGGAGCCTTCTTCAGCACTGAAAAAACGGAAGACTGGCTCAGCTCTTGAAAATAACAGGGATTCTGGGCTGCGAGGATGTGGTGGGATCTGCTGCTGCAACAGCAGCCTTTGTGCTTGAGACTAAGCTTCTAGGTGTTTATCTTTTTCGGGGTCCAAATGGCACTTACCAATAAAGGCATAGCTGGGAGCCAATGGAATTTACAAAGTTCAGGGTTCAAAGAGGGTGTCAGGTAAAGGGATGATGACAAGGAATATAATTGTAATAAGGTATGGATGGGTGTCTAGTTGCTTCAGCAAGCTTTTATTGAGGTGACACTGAACGTGGGCAAGACCCAGAGACAGAAAATCCATGCTGTGTATTTTGACAAGGAAAAAGTTCAGCGTGGGTGCAGCGAGAAGCTGACATTGCTGTTCGGAATGGCGTTAAGATGGGGCTAGAGCGTGACCAAGTTCACACACTCTATGAAGGAACTGGACTTTTTCATGCAGGGATTAGTTACTGGATTTCAAGCAGAAGGGCAATGCCGGATGTTTGCAGCAATGTGGAGGGTAGATGCCAGTGAGGAGAGAGTTGTGTTGCAGTATTCTAGGCAAACGGGTTGGAGGCTTTAATATCACACCAAGCCCACTGCCACTGAGTCAATGTTCACTCATAGCCACTGTATAGGCTAGAGCTCAACTGCTCTTTCAAGTTCCAAGGCTGTCATGTTTATGGGAGCAGATAGCCTCGACTTTCTCCTGTTCCTTTGCAAGAGTACAATTTGACACTTACACTGCAGGGACCCAATCGAGGTGCACAGAGAGATCAGGAAACAGAAGGGCCTGGCAACTGGCGGCTATCGAATGGAGAAAGACAGCCTTGGGAACCATTCCTTTGTGGTGGTGAGCTCCAGGCTAGCATCAATGATTGGGGACACAGAAACAATAGGGGGAAATAGCAAATTTTGTTTTGATCATACTGAGACTGAAGAAGCACCTGTTCCTAAGATTTTTTTTTTTAAGAAAAAGGTCATTTTGAGTTGGGGCTAGGCTTTGAGTTTTGAGGGTGCTAATCCCACCCTTTCTCTACTTCATTCTGAACCAACTCCCATCCATTGTACTGCTGGTCAAGCAGGGTGAGAAACGCTGCTTCTCTCAGAACCTCACTGCCATTGAGCCAATCCTGATCCAATTCTGTCTCCCCCAGGACAAGGCAGAACTGCCCCTGTGGGTTTCCAAGACCAACTCGAGTGAAGCAGAAAGCCTTATCTTTGTCCTGTGGAGCTGCTGGTGGTTTTGAACCGCTGACCTTGTAGTGATTAGCCCAGAGCATAATCACTATGCCACTAGAGCTCAAAACTCTACTTGGGTTCCCTGAATAAACACATCACTCAAGGGTACCAGGCCAACAGTAGCCCTTTCCCAAAGTCGCTAGCAAGACCTGTTATTGTGGACATTGCAGAAGATGAGAGTGCCTATGGCCTGTAAGGGGGGGTGGGGGTGGGGCTGGGGGGGGGGCGGGCACACATAATACACATATTACTATGCAGAAAAGAGACGTGTCCTGAAATGTATGAAACTAGGAGGTTTCAAAACATTTGTGGAAATACAGAAGTAAAAGTGCATGGGATTTTTAAATGAATATTTTGAAGTGTTCTAAAAATCCTTAAGATGCTGTACTCCGTGTGTGTTGTTTTAGTGCCCTGCCTTAACAGAAGCTGGAGGATGTTGAAAATAAAAGTGCTGTTGAAATTCGAGTCTTTATTTGCAAGGATCAATGTGGGGGGTGTGATCATCTATTTGGCATAAACCAAGCAAAATGTTCAGCTTTTAATAACTGATGAAATGTTTTCAAAGTGCACTCCATCTGGTCTAATATAAATTACTACCTACTTTTACTGCCCCAGGCCATGGTATTTGCATTCACTTCATATGCATGAGAAAGTTGGGCGCTGAAGACTGAAGAAGAACTGAAACATTTGAGTTATGGTGTCGGCATGAATGAACCGAAGGACAAACACAGCTGTCTTGGAAGAAGGGTACCAGAGGGCTCCTTCGAAGCAAGGATGGCAAGGCTTTGTCTTACATGCGTTGGACATGTTGTCATGAGGGACCATTCCTGGAGAAGGACACCGTGTTGGTGAAGTGGAGGGGCAGTGAAAACGAGGAAGGGCCTCAGCGAGGTGGACTGACAGTGGCAGTGACAATGGGCTCCCGCAGGGGAACACTTGTGAGGATGAGGCCGGGCCGGGCAGTGTTTCCTTGCTGTGCACAGCAGTTCCTATTTTCTGATGAAAAGGTATAACCTTTGAGGACAAATCATTACAGGTAAGCCTGGGAGCGCTGGAGCTCACCAGGACTACCTCTTTCCCATGGGGGCTTGCAAGTTGTCTGCCTTTGATAGTCTATCACTTGCTTGAGTGGAAAATCTTTTCTCTTTCTGTCTCTGACAGGTGCTTCCCTGACACGGGTTCTGGCTCTCAAGGGCTTCTTTCTAGCCTCCCTGTATACGGTTACATTCCTATGGAACAGCGCCTTCATGCCTGAGATCCCACCAGGTCCACTAAGTTTCACACATCACTGATGGCAAGACTTCTTCACGCAAACACCACGACCTGCACTTCAGTGATGCCCAAACATGGCTCTCTGACTGCCAGGAACCCCATTCTTCCACAGAAAGGCCAACGCTCTATTTCACTATCGATTTTGTATACAAAGACATCAGTAACAATCGTAACACTATTTTCAGATAACTCAATACCATCGACTTGATTCTGACCCATCAGGACTCTTCATGACTGAGTAGAACCGCCCCTTTGGGTTTCTGGGACTTTAAATCTTTACCATAGATGGTCTTATCTTTCTCCCACGGAGCAGCTATTGGTTCAATCCTCTGACCTTATTAGCAGCTGTTTGTAACTCATTACGCCTGCCCTAGAGTAATGAATGAGCCAGTGTTAGCCTGTTAGTAAAGTGTCTTCGCACCCATCGAGCTTCCCCAATGAGCACCAAGAGGTTTCCAGTGCCCTCTGCAACATCCTCTTGGGGGAAAAAACATGGACTTGCAAGACTGCATCTCTTAACCAGGCCGACTCCTGCACATCTTCAGAACCTTAAAAACTGGGTTCGAAGGGGAAGAGCAGGAAGACGAAGGCGAGGGATGATGACAAACCCCGTGCGGTGATTGATTCTGGGGAGCAATCCTGTGGAGGAGGGTTCTGTCACTTAGAAACGTCCTGTCCTTTCTCGGTCTCCTAAAATAAGCATCTACCACCTGTGTTTCTACGAAATAAGGGAAACATTCCCACTAATAAAAATCAATCTTTACAGTAGATTCTTCTCTTAAAGTGATAAGCATTCTATAACATACATACTGGAAACTCTACTGAAATAAACATAATGGAGGTGATACTTTAGATAGGAGCTGGGGCGAGGTTTAGTTTTCTGTAAAAGTTGCACTGTAACAATTATGGAAATAAAATTACAGGATCAAATTGGATCAAATCTCATAGGGTCCAAATCTCATGATGATTTGATTATACATTTCTGTAATGAGTGCTGGAAAACAATGTTTCTCAAAAAAATGGCTTTTCACACTTTGACTATGGAAGGTGCGGATTTTGATACAGAGGATCATGTTGGAGTTGCATGTCCACCCTTCCTTTTAAAATTGCATTAAAAATTCCTTTTAAAATTCCACTAGTCTGTGGCCCTCGAGGCCTTCCCATTCCCACTCGACAGCTGGGGCCAACGGGAGTTTAGCTTCCACGACCATATCTCTGGTGCATCCCTCTAACACGTACCAAGGGACGTACAGGGAGAATGGCTGCTCATCAGTGTTGGCCTAGTAATGGGGAGATCAGCCTAGCGACCCAAGGTGGGCCCAATGTCATCACATGCACCTTTAGAAGTGGTGGAGGTGGGAGTGATGAGAGTGGCAATACCCGGAGGGTGGAGAGAAGGTGGGGTAGAAAGGGGGAGCTGATTACAGGGATCTATATATCACCTCCTCTCTGGGGGACGGACAACAGGAAAGTGGGTGAAGGGAGACGTCAGACAGTATGTGACAAAATAATAATTTATAAATTATCAAGAGTTTATGAGGGAGGGGGGAAAGAGAGAGAAAAATGAGCTGATGCCAGGGGCTTACATGGAGAGCGAATGTTTTGAGAATGATGGCAATGAATGTACAAATGTGCTTTATACAATGGATGGATGTATGGATTGTGATGAGTTGTATGAGCCCCCAATAAAATGACTTTTTAAAAAAAAGAAACATCCCATGTTCTACAAACAAAAAAAGAAGTGGTGCCAACAAGTTGGTGTCTCAGTGTTGTGAGCCTCCAAGCAGAAAAACCAACCCACTGGATTCTGGACTTCCAGAACTGCTCAGGTAATAAATCGGTGTTGAGTTTCAAAGTTTTAGAAACTTCTTATGATAGCCATAGAAAACCAGGTTTGGCTAACGCTAGAAATTACAATGTGGAAAGAAAAAAAAGGGTGGGGTGGGGAAATAAAAACGGCATGGCATCTCCAGAGTCCTTGTTCGGGAATAGCTCCAGCTGTAACCATGAACTGTCTGGAAAATATGAAGTTCATGACTGAAACCGAAAGGAGCATCCAAATCCACTGGTGATTGGGGGGCGGGGGGACTGGGGGGCGGTGTGGAGAGGATGTTACAGGGTACTAGATACACTACTTTTCTCTTTTTTGTCCTTTCAATCAGTGAGAAGAGTGGCTAGGGAAAGGCTGTAACCACAAAATGCCATCTGTGGCTCAGGAAGACGTCTCTCAGTTCCTGCAAGAAAGAGCCTCTTGTGGATCGCTGAGCTCTC